TACATTCAACGCACGTATGTTACACAGTCCAGAAAAATGAAAGAACCTGTTTTAACTGTATGAATATATCTCAGGATATGTCATACTACACATACAATGTATTGATAATATCAATGTATATATTGGAGAAAATAAGCATTGCTGGCAAGTTTGTCCTCATCTATTCAGACAACACAACTTGCTGCTCCTGCAGTCACCATCAGCATTCATGACAGTGAAGGAAGAACCAACGCCCATCTCAAAGTCATGGTGGAGCTGAAACATATAAAACAAAATCACTTTATCTTTTCATAGAATCCTTCAGCAGAAATGTAATGAGGACATTTACCCTCTTTTACATAGCTCACCTTATACTGGTGTCATGCATTGCATTCCACACCCATTGGAGCAGCATATTTTACCATCTTTGCATGGTGCGATGTCAGAGCATTCCACAAAACATGCCCCTATTCTTCCATGGGGGGGACATCTGTCAGTTCCTGGTACTGAGAGAAAAGATAGAAAAATTAGATTTGTGAAAGTAGACCATTAAAAAAACCTGCCTGAACACAATTTATTTTACTTTTTGTAATATTGCAAATACATTTTACATAATAATTATTAGCTACTTTCTAAAAAAATCAAACAAAAAAACAAAAAAAACCCACACCTCTTACTTGGAACAGGAGGGGCACAAACAGATTCCTAGTCAAACAACATTTCTCATCTCCAGAACAGTTTATGTCACATATGTCAAACATCAAGGCCCGGGGGCCAAATGTGGCCCTCGTTGACATCTTAAATGGCCCCCAAGATGATATGTTAAATATAAATAACTTTTTTCACTTTAATTTTTTCAGTAATCTTTGATTATGATGTCAAAAGTGCAACAGAGAACGTCAAATGAGACCAATCAAACTGTATTTTGAGGAACCTGCAACAAAGAAAAGATGTTGGGTATCTAACTTGAATTAATGTAGATTCTGAAACTGGCCCTTAGTTTGAAAAATGTTTTAATTTTGACCCCCTTTTGCAAGTGAGTTTGACACCACTGGTTTATGTCATAGCGACATGTTTTTAATGGTGCAAAGGATTCAAAGTAGTTGAGATGGTGTTAGGCATTGACCTGGTTTAATCAAAGTCTTGATGTTTGCGATATGAAAAAAAGAAACAAATTTTAAAATATAAAAACAAAAAGTCTGACATAATGAGTTTTGAGGAGTTCTTTTTTTTAACACTTTTAAAAGGAAAGACAGGGTTCAGGAACCACTATATTAAAAAAAAAAATCTGAAATATTAATTGAATGTACATCTAAAACTAAGTTTTGGAGTTAACCTCATTCAAGTTGACTGCCACACCTAAGCAGCTTCATCATAAACAAAAATGACTCAAACACAGTCAGTTTTTCAAATACTGAAGAGAGATTTGGTGTAGTAATAACTGGGTATGATCGCCAACATATTCTTCTAAAACTAATCGTTTTGATATTTTATTTAAAAATGTGGGCATTACTTGTTACTGTTGAGCTGTTACTCCAGTTTCTTTTAAGCCTCAGCTACCACCATGTTATACTACTACCACTCCAACATGAATCCAAACAGTAGATGGAAACACGTCGCTCCCTGAGATAAATTGTTGTGGGTAAAAATCTAACTACCACCACAAAACATGGAATACACACTATTTAATATAAAAACAAATTTTGATTTTATAAATTCAATTATTTTAAACCATCTTATTACCCATCAGATTCTTCTTGTAACCCTTTAAATCAGGGGTGCCCAAAGTGGGGCCCGCGGGCTAAAGTTGGCCCGTCAAGCCATTTGATTTGGCCCGCCAAGATGTCTTCATTACTATATTAAAATTTAATTTGAAGAATCAATATCTTTACACTCACCCCAACATTTTTCAGTCAGGTCATCTGGACAGTTTCTTTTTTTTGTGCTGAAACGTTTCGCCTTCGATCCAGAAGGCTTCATCAGTTCAGGAAACACAACAAAACTGATTCTTCCCCCAACAGCTTACTCCAAAGTGGAACAAACCAGTTCTGCTTGTGATGAGATGGTCTCTTTGGTACGCTCCCACCTCCATTGCCGGCCCTCTTCCTTGTTGACAGTCTTGTCAAACTGGCTGAAAACAACAAAGTCCATGCTCAATAATCCAGGTATACAATCCAACATTTTTTCAATCAGGTCATCTGGACAATTTCTTTTTTATGTGCTGAAATGTTTTGCCTTCGGTCCGGAAGGCTTCATCAATCAAGTTCAATTTCCTAACCGAAGGCAAAACGTTTCAGCACAAAATAAAATAAACTGTCCAGATGACCTGACTGAAAAAATGTTGGATTGTATACCTGGATTATTGTGCATGGACTTATTTGTTTTCAACCAGTTTGACAAGCCTGTCAACAAGGAAGAGGGTCGGCAATGGAGGAGGGGGCGTACCAAAGAGACCATCTTATCACAAGCAGAACTGGTTTGTTCCACTTTGGAGTAAGCTGTTGGGGGAAGGATCAGTTTTGTTGTGTGTTTCTTTGACTGATGAAGCTTTCTGGATCGAAGGCGAAACGTTTCAGCAAAAAAAAAAAAAAGAACCTGTCCAGATGACCTGACTGAAACATTTTGGATTGCATACCTGGATTATTGAGCATGGACTTTGTTGTCTTTACACTCAGTCATTCCAAGATTAATGTTAGATGGAAAGTTGGCCCAATGACTACTGTAATGACACGACACAGCTGGAGTGACTAATTTGTGCATTCATTTTTTAAAGTTTAATAATTTATATTTTATTTTGACAGATTTCATACTGTCTCTGCAGTTTCTTGCAGCTGAATAACATTTCCTTTGACAAAGCTGAGCATCATGTAGGTGCCCATCACACACCCTTCTTGAGCACCCCTAAATTTTAACTCATCATCTCTGAAAAATTAAGAAACCATCATTAGGATTTTGTAAGGAAACAGTTCTCAAACCTTAGATTCGCCAAAAATATGGAATGAATTACAACAGTCTCAAATGGGCCAGTAAAATCTATAATTTTTTTGCACAAGTCACACCACCTGTCAATTAGTCCAGTAGGCACGTCAGCAACTGATCAGTCAGTGACTGATCAGTCAGTGACCTTATTTTGTTCTGAAGTGAATGCCTCCTACCTGTAGAGCTGCAGCAGTGTTGCATTAAGAACACTTTGCAGTCAGAGATTTCAATAATAACAGAGTTTACATGTTTTGTTTCATGTTAATTTACTGTAATAAACTTTTGTAAAATACATCAAATGCAGGAAATGGCATCTACTTTATTCAAAATTCTCTGGAGAAGGACCCCCAGACCCCACCTCCACCACCAACTCAGCCTGTTCTGTAATGTTCTTTATACAGAATGGAAGGTTAAATAATTGTATAATAAATAAATGGACTTTACTTAAAGAAGTATTTGAGCAGGAAAAGGGTAGAGTGCCCTCTCCGGGTCGGGGAGGAGGTCCTGTCCAAGTGGAGGAGTTTAAGGATCTCGGGGTCTTGTTCTCGAATGAGGGAAAAATGGAGCAAGAGATCGATAGGCGGATAGGTGCATTGTTGGCAGTGAAGCGGGCGCTGCACTGGTCTGTCGTGGTGAAGAGAGAGCTGAGTCAAAAGGTGAAGCTCTCAATTTACCGGTCAATCTACTTTCCTACCCTCATCTATGGTTAGGATGCCTCCCTGGTGAGGTGTTCCGGGCACGTCCCACGGGAAGAAGACCCAGAGGAAGACCCAGGATACGCGGGAGGGACTCCGTTTCTCGGCTGGCATAGGAACACCTTGGGATTCCCCTGGAGGAGCTGGCCCAAGTGGCTGGGGAGAGGAAAGTCTGGGCCTCCCTACTTTTAGGCTGCTACCCCCCGCGACCCGTCACCGGATAAGCGGAAGAGAATGGATGGATGGATGGACTTTACTTAAAGAAGCATTTGCATTTCAGGTATTGTATTATTGCATTTGGCTCACAACCCTCTGATAGATTTTAAATTTGGCCCTTTCAGGGAAAAAGTTTTGACACCCCTGCTTTAAATGGTTTTGACTCAGTTTTGACAACACGCAGTGAAGAAAGCGTTACTCATGTCAGATACTTCAACATGTCAGATTATATTCAAGTTAATCTGCTAAACCAGTTGGACATTCAGTGTCTTAAAACTTAAACTTGCTGTTCATTTCTACATTTAGTAACATTTAATAGGAACATGTCTTACTGAAAATAGGATCAACACAGAAAGAGCTGCAGCATTTCTCATCTCCAGAACAGTCCTCATCATTGTCACATTGTGGTGCTATTGGTGGTTTATTCAGAGGTCCTCTTGGACAAATCCCTGGTTGTAGAAGTGGTAGCTTAATGTTCATGACGGTATCTAATTTTTAGGTAAGTAAGACAAACAAAAAGAAAAGAAAAAAACAAACTTACCAGGTTTTTCTGGAGCAGAAGGCACAAACAGACAAGATGCTATCAGCAGGACAGCTATCATTGGACAGTGTGTCTTCATGTTGATTTATCACAGTCAAATGATCTTCTGAATCCCTGTTTGGATAAATATCCTGGTAAATAAACTGCAATCTGAGCAGCAGAGATGATGCTGGGTCCTTGTGTCTGCCGAGCTCCTTTTCAAAAGATATATAGTAGCAACAGACACACCCAAATGTTCACAGCCTTTTTTGGATACATTTTTTAAGATAATTTGGTAACAAAAGGTTAAAGTTAAAATCCTGTTTGACAACTAGTTGCATAAGTGTTGCATTCTTTTTTCTTTGAATGTAGACTATTGAAAAAATGTTTGCACTTTTGTTAACATTCTCACATATTTACAATTTTAGATCAGAATAGCCATCTATATTTATGCAATACAGTTTGCAACATAGAAAATATGAGCTTTGTTAACAACTTAAAGTTTAATATTTTGTCAAAACTGGACTTGATCTCACGTTACTTTACTTTTAGAGGGGAGTGAAGGAAGCAATCCATGTAAAAAGAGAGCTTTTTACTTGATATATA